TGACACAGTTTTTTATGATAGACATTTTAAGCTCAGTTTTTGGATGAAATTAGATATTTAAAGCATGAATAATGATGTTAGTATTACTTTGTTGTAATTTAAAAACTTTATTCATGGGGACTTATAAAATTAAAAATGTTACTATAATATGGAATGACATTTTCAATATATTTAGATAAATTTCAAATTATAAGCTATTACGTATTTGTACCGTTGTCTAAGAACCTATTCACACTGTTTTACAGGAGGTGGTATTGACTCAAAAAATTTAACAATAATATAACATGATAAAAATATAGAATATTATAATAATTAAATATTAATACTACAATAAATGCAATGTTTTCGGCAAAAATTAAACCGAAATACTAATGATAAAATGAGTTACTTCAATAACAACAACATGGCGTAACTATATATCCTTATAAGTAGGTACTAATTTTGCTATATAAAAACGTCGTATATCCTATTTTCAGTTACTTTAATTTTACATTAGTAGAGTAGGTAACGACGTAACGTTGATATTGATTTGTTGCCTGTTGCTATAGTTAATGAAAACTAATAAATAATAAAGACAGTAACTTTAACTTCCTTATTCTATATTTTGAAATTAACAATAATAATATTAATTTTGGGCCTCAAAATAGATCTTTGCACATGTGCCCAAAGTTTATAGTTATGGCACTGCTTTGGACTTACAACAGATTAACCTGCAAATTGTTATAATTATTTAAATATGTTTTTAGGTCGTGTTCATTATTATTTGTATAGATTCACTCAAACGTTTTCTCGCAATAGTTATTATTCAACGCAAGAGTTTAAACATCATAATAATATGCAATACTTGAAGTACACATAAAACAAGTCTATTTTTGTTACCACAGGCGTAGGAATTTGCTTTGTACTTGGTATCAGGTAATACCACACTGCTGCTGCTTGCAGGAACTATAGGCAGTGCCGGCGCTAGGGGAGGACAAATGGGACATTTGTCCAGGGCCCCGCGCTTGTTAAAGGGCCCCGTGATTTTTAATTATCATCTTAATACGAATACCGTGGTCTACCGTCGGATATTGCATTATTCTGCCTGCAGCGGTCGCGTACTTAGATATTAAACAATTTATTATTTTATTCAAACATTTTGATGAATTAATTTATTTTTAATTGATGATTTTATGTAGTTGTTAAAATAAATGTAAATTAATAAAATAACCAGCCCTTATGAATTTATTAGCCTACGATTTTCCACTCAAAGGTTTAACTGAAACTCACGCTACGCCAATAATTCTGTGCTGAGCGAGGTTTCATCAGGAGGAATCGCACTCGAATGTGTTGTCTCCGTTTACACAAGTAGGTAAGGTAAAGTGGGGGTAAGTGTGACGCAAAAATGAAAAGTTAATTTTGAATTTGACAATACTTTTTTGTTTTTAACTTAAAGTTGTTATTGTTCCATAATGTAACACTTCTAGATATACATAATTGGAATTTATAGTCAACAAAGTTATATTATCACTCACCTAAGAATATTTTTTTTTTTTTTTAATTTTAAAACGTCACACTTGCCCCTTTTCATGGGGCAAGTTCAAAATCGGATTGTTTTTGCTATTAGTATTACATAAAATTATATATGGGGCAAGTGAATAACAAAGATAAAAATAAGCTTTAAGTTGATTTTTGTTTCATTAAAATATCTTGATTCATTAAGAATTGACAGAGCATTATTTAAATTTAATTATTTACCTATGTTATATATAAAAAGAGTACTTTTTTAAAATCCTGATTTAAAAAAAAGCTAAAATTTCACTACTCTCTGAGAACCTAAAGGCTATTACCTATGACCAGGGCCCCGCAATACCTAGCGCCGGCACTGACTATAGGTACGGAAAACATTTCTGGTGGGAAAATTACGTTCATACAGGTCACAGCAAAATCTTCAAGTTACCATGGATTATACAAAATCAGGGAGGACGCAAGCGAATATTTAAAGATATTCTTAAATTTCCAAATTCAACACTGAATAGTTTATTCGAACAAAACAAATGTATTTCAGTTCACAGTCTAGAAACTGGAGGACTGATACCCTTTCAGGGGGTGCCAATGGAAGCTTTCTGCATACTCTGAACAAAAGGCCTGCGCGTACGCCTATGAATTAGTGTGTACCCGCACTAATGAAATAAAATAGCATTGACATAAGTTGATGTAAGTCTTTTACATTTTGCTATTATTAAAATAAATAATTTTAAAATATTCAGCGGATTGATAGTCAGCTGAATCAATATGTAAAAAACTTCGGTGGAGTTGATACGCATCGCTCAATCGATAGATTTCTTACAGATAAAAATCTAATTTCGGCTCCATTGATGTACGCCCGTCCAGCAATAATTATTTCATATTGATGTGATGTGAGCTAAACAAGATGAGAACTAAACAAGTAGGTACTTACTATTTCATTGATTACATGTAATCTAACACAAGCTATTAGCTTACAGGAGGTAGGTAATCAAAACTGTAGTCTGTAACTATTTGTTAAATTTGTTTAATTTGTAACCATTTATTTTATTTATTTTGATTTCTAAAAAAAAAAAAAAAATTACCTACTGCAGTAGGCAAGGCAATTCACTGCAATAAGAGTAATAACATTAATAGTATTTACTATTTATACGATCAATAGTTGAATATTGTTATTATAGTTAGCACAGATAGATTTTATAGAAATATCATCACCTGATGTCTGATGATGATGAATAGTAATGAATAATAATTTATTACGTTCTACGGTAATCATGCAACCCGCGTATTAAGCGTTAAAAAAATAACTAGATTTGATGAAACAAAAATCAAAAGAGATGTTTAAAAAGTACCTATAATTTTTATCTTCTATAGTAAATAAGCGGGTTTGAAAAGAAAATTACACAGTTGACAGACAAGATAACCAATTTAGGAATGTGATCAAGACAAATTTCTAATACCTACTCTTATAGTCGTATAAGTAAGTTATAATATAATATAGAATATAAACTTATACAAAGCCTTTTTCTTTTATTTGACCTTCATTCTCGAATGATAAATTTTCTCCTTTTAGAAAACAAAACAATTTAGGTAGGTAAAAGAAGCAAATAAAATCAAATATTTTTTAAAAATTAAAATTGGATATCTGGAAATATATTTATATTTTTTTCGCTTATTGGTCTAAATACACAAAAAAACGACTAGCTTTCAACAGCCTTAAATTATATTTTTATCAATTTTATGATCTTAAAGTTTGCAGCATCGATATTATTTTATAATTTATGTAACAATTTCAACAGTTTATCTAGTAAGTGATGTTTTAAATTCAATGTTACCAGATTGTTTTTATTTTTAATTATTTTTTTTTATGGATTCTATTATTGTTCCTTTAGATTTTTTAATTTATAAAATGTGTATTATAATCCTTAGACTGTTAGTACTATACACTAATATTACTATAAATTTTATAATATAATGTAATATACAGTATAGATAAAATTGTATTGCCCAAGGTACACATATTTATTTACTGCACTCGTATAGCTACATAGATGTTATATTTTTATTATTATACAGCATCACGCCATCACTGTCCACTGACCTCTGCTTCAGTGCTTCCTCTTGGTTCAAATGTTAAAAATTAAAAACATATCTGCAGCATTATAAAATAATAATGTATAATTTATTATTTAATAATTAAGTATTAAAATTTGCTACTTCTAAAATTTGATGCTCCAGGCTATGCACCTTATACTACATAAACGCTCCACCACTTATACCTATATAAGTAATTCAACAACTTAAATTTGCATAGTGTCGTGTAACTATCATAATATTGTAAGCACACATTCTTTACTTTACAGTTCGGAAATAAAATATAAGTCTATAACTTTGAGGGTATTATTATACTTATTTCTCAAATAAACCTATCGGCGGCGCAGTTCGCCCTTTCGGCCCCTCGATCAATGAATTTATCTTTTAAGATACAGACGATATAATAACAACATTAAATAATGTATTAATAATACTACATCGCTTGGGAGAAAAAAAAAAGAACGAACGATTTCGTAGGTCATAATCGAAAAAAGAAAACATCTCAGTACGTCGTCGTCTGCGCGCTCGTCGTTTTTTCCGGACGAACCGCGGTCGGCGGGTAAAAAACCGCTCACAGATGCCGACGACGGACGTCGGGGGGACGTAGGTACATACCACATACAACGTGTACACACACAAACAAACTTATAAAATATTATTATTATTATTATTACCGTCGGCGCAGGCGAACCGGTACCTCTGGTATACGCCTGCCGTCTCCGCCAGAGTTGGGTAGGTACAGATTACAGAACGCGACTCGTTCGGTCTTCCCGGTCGAATAACATATTATACCTCTCTCTCTCTATATATATATATACAGAGACCAGGTACAACGCGGTATATTATTAATATTACCTGCAGCACTACCTGTGGAACGGTACGTGCGGTGCGGCGGAGACGACGTCGGTGGGGGGACCGCCGCCCGGTAAACTCGCACGACAGGTCGCCGGCGACCGACGATTACCGCTCCGCCATCAGTCTACGGGGCACACCGTTCGCAATCGCGTCTCGTCCTGCGCAGTTCGTTTTCTATTATTTTGTAGTTTCGTCGCGTTTTCGTGTCGCGTTTCACGTGTGCCGAACACACTTCGCCAGGTCGCATACCCATATTATCGCAGTCACGAACCACATTTCGTCCATCCTACACCGGCCGCGTTTCGGATTTTGGTATACACGGGATTTCTCTGTGCGCGTGCGACCCGTAATGTGAGAGACGGTCACCGACGAACGTCGTCTAAGCGCGTTACAGGGCATGTGAAATATTTATATACCACGGTGGGAGCACACGCGAATATATATAAACGGAGCAGTGGATACGACGCATAGTACCACCGGTCTCGCAAAGAGTAGTAGGTAGCCGATCGTCGAACGGTAGTGGGCTAGGTCCGTCGGCCGCCACCATGAGCATGATGATGATGATGAGACCGTCCGACTCAACGCCCATCTGTCGGTGCCGGGTCCTGTACCTGGGATCGGCTGTTCCACACATCACCAAGGACGGGCTTCAGGGCATACAGGAGCCACTCAAAGAGCTGTACCCGGAACAGGGGGCCCTGGGGGCCCGCGGCATCGACTCTTGGCTGAGCGTTTGGAGCAACGGCCTGTTGCTGGAGAACGTGGATGAGAATCACAAAAAGATCACTCGGTTCTTCCCGATCGAGTCACTGCATTACTGCGCTGCGGTCCGGTTCGTTCTGGTGCCCGAGAAGTCTAACGGGTCGTCGCAGCCGCGATTCTTGCCACTGGACTCACCGTTTGCCCGGTCACCGAACCCCAACCACCCGCCACTGTTCGCAGCCATACTGCGCCGGACTTCCGGTATCAAGGTACTCGAGTGCCACACGTTCATATGCAAGCGCGAGATGGCCGCTAACGCACTGGTCCGGTGCTGTTTCCACGCTTACGCTGACTCGTCGTACGCCAAACAATCGGATGGCGGCGGCACAAACGGTACTTCCAATGGTGCCGGTGGCCACAGCATATACGGCACGGTGAGGACCAACAGGTCGGTGGGCAACAATACAATCGACAAGGTGGAAGGCTGGCGGCGCATGACCAACGGCGGAGGGGCGGCCGGCAGCACCCTGACACTTAACAGCGCCCACTCCAACGGTATCACCATGCTGGAGGCGTCCACGAATTCCATCGACGACCTGTCTGAGTGTAACGGTGACGAGAATCACAAAGTGTGGGTGGGTAGCACCAAGGACATATCGGAAAAAGAAGACCTGTATGGTGCCGGAAACACGATGCGCAGCTCGCGTTCCAGCAGGCCCAGGCAACTGGTTGGGGGCGCTCCACCACCACCTCCACCACCGCCACCAGTCAGGGACGACAGTAATAAGTCAGCTACAAAGAAAGCAAAGGAGAGGCCGCGCCGCAAGAGAACGCCGACTGGCGGAAGTCGCGAAGACCTATACGCGCCATCAATGAACGGCTCGCTCATGAGGTCTGTGCATGGCGGCCGGAGTTCGGTATCGCTCAACGGCACCATGGCGAGCCGGGGACCACCTAGAGGGTTCATGCAATATCAGCAGCCTCCACCACCGCCACCGCCGCCCAACCACATTTACTCCAACGGTGGAGGTGGCACCATGCTCAGACCAGTCAACGGCTATCACCCACATCATCCACATCCACCACACCACCCACATCACCCCCATCCAGGAATGATGCAGCCTCCACCTCCACCGCCCATTATGATGGTGCCCACCACCCTGCCGCACCCCAAGAAGATGCATAAGATGAAACCAGGCATGATGCCAGTACCCAGACCTGGCATGATCCCAGCAAATTACATGCCGGTGCCCATGTACATGCACACCGGTAAAAAGCCCAAGAATGGAGTGCCCGTACCTGTTCCAATGGCCATGGAAGAACCGATATACATGCCTTCCGCCCGGCCACTGAGTCCGGTCGCGTCCTATCAACCCGAGCACTTCCCACACGAGGCGTACCTGATGCAGCAGTACGCCAACAGCGTAAATCACATGAACAACAACAACATAAATAATAACGGGCCGGCGCCCAAGACCAAGAAGGGAAAAAAGGACAAGAAATCCAAGGACTCTGTAAATGGGATGATGCCACCGCTGATGGTGCCGCAGTTGATGGTCAACGGCGGTGCTGGTGGAGGCGGAATGATGATGATGCATCAGCAGCAACAGCTGCAGCATCAACCGCCGCCACCACCCTCTGGACCACCGCAGTTGGCCGTCAACGGGCACAGAGTCAACGGCAACGGCATGATGTCAGCGGGACACGACGAAATGACTGACGACACCGAGGACTCGGTGTACAGCACCGGAATATACAGGCGGAAGGGACACCTCAACGAGCGGGCGTTCTCGTACTCGATCCGGCAGGAGCACCGGTCCCGGTCGTACGGGTCGCTGGCCAACCTCAAGTTCGCTGCGCCGCCAATCGTGCCGAATGGCGTGGACGGGGTACCGAACAAGGTGGACATCAAGAAAGAACGGGAGATCATGCAGATGATGCAGGACCTGGAGCTGTCGGGCGATGAGCTGGACCGCGCCGACCAGGTGGTACACCACCAGAAACAGAGCAACAACGTGGCTCACCATCAGAGGCCCGTCAAGACGAAGCGATAACGACCACCACGATATTATTGATGTCACAGCGGACCGGAACTACGACCGCCTGCAGGTAAACAACGATTCACAGTTATATTGCACGTAATTTTAAATATTATTTTATAATTTATAATAATATTTTATCGATTTACGGTCCACTTTGTCGTAGATAGATCATACGATCCTTGATCCGTCTACGTACATTATTATTATTATTATTATTATTAATTATAACCGTGTCTCAGCCGCCGTCGCCGACGAGAATATTCGATGGGTAATAAATAATAATATAATATATTATTATTGTGTACCGTCCTGTTGTACCTCTCGCCGTGATAATACATAGAGTTAACGATCGCGTATTGTCCTTTTCCGATCTTTCACGTCTATTTTTCCTCCGGAGCGAAAACCCGGCTCTATGAGGCTTTATATGCAAGCGCGTGTGTCGATATAATATCATAATCATATTATTATTATAATATTATATTGTTGTTCCCAAATGTATATCATGTAGCCCCGAGTCACGACACTATGTCGTTTCGGTAATAATAATAATAATAATAATTAATGTTGATTTCGAAATGCGAATATTCGACGGAATTATAATATACGAGCACATCATGCGAGCAAAATATAATATTAGGTGCGAGTCGTATAAGGAAATCGCTAGTTATTAGGTCGATATTGCAGAAACACGTGTAATAATCGTTCAACTCCGAAACACAATAACAAACCTTAATTACTATACGTGTCAATAATATGTCATATTGTCATGTGTGTTGTGTGTATTATAATAGTACACACGACTACACAGTGACTACTTTTTTCATAATTGTTTGATAATAATAATACTGAACTCTGAATTAAATGGAAGTTTGGATGATTTAGTAATATTCTGTTTCACGGATCAGGTTGACAATATTTATCATTCAGTATTAAATCTTTAAATATACTTTTTTTCTTTAACACACCCAATCTCAAATACTACCACTCATTTACCACTATTTTAGGTGCTTCGAATATAGTACTTTCTACCGCGATAGTTTTATTTAATTAAAATTATATGTGTAACGTAAGAGGCACACATTTTAAGTAAAATAAAATCTCAACAAGTAGGTAGTTAAAATGCATTAGTTTTTTAACAATAGTTATAATGAATATTAAATACTATAAATAATAATAAACAGTCTTCTGTACAGCAAATCGTTGATAAATACCTCATGATATCTCAATATACTTATTTAAAACAAAATATTCAAAGTAAAACACAGTATGTAAATAAAAAAGTGGATAAGTGGATGTCGCTCTGTTGTACAGTAGGTTACAATTGGGTAAACGTATACAGGATTGCATTAAACTTGAATTCAATGATATAATATCATTGTATAAGAAAAAAGATTCTGAGCGGAGATGGTTTGTCAGTCTGGACATTGTTATTATTTATTAAATCTTGTAAGTTGAATTTATATTATAATAAGTATATTATTATTTTTTATTCGTTTCTACCGAAATAAACAAGGCTTTAGAAATTAAAATCCCATTTTTAGCGGTTTTTTGTAATTTGTCGGTGGTTTTTCCTGTGCAATTAAATAAATATTGAGAAAATCGAAAAATTACCTTTCTAAAGTACCATCTTGATCCAATTCGCTAAAAGATAAGGTACTATATGTTGAAATCGAAGCACTCCTTTTGGTAGATATTTTGTATACATTATATACAAAAAAAAAAATGAACACCATTGTAAAACCAAAAGCTTCCTCGCTCCACTCAGAATCTAAAATACAGGTATTAGTAAAATTTAATATATTCAAAAAGCCTATAGAGAACGTAAAAATAATTTATGTTTACATAATAATACATATTTTATGTAACTCGTTCATAAGATAAACATGAGCGAAAATGCACTTACAAAAATCTCGGTAATTAGCTAATTAGTTTAGGAAACTATACACAGATGAATTAATTTATGTCTGCGTGACTGTAAGATATGGCATAAGTAAGGTAAACATAAATAACGTTTGAGCGCTCTACTAAAAAGTAAAAACGTAATAATTACAACCATTTAGATTTCGTTTATACATTTTGCGTACAATATTGTGTTCATTATATTACATCTAGCCAATTACTTATACTTAATATCAGTTATTACGGTTACTGGTTATGTTATGTAAGTGTATAATGTGTATACCTTACATTCCTACGGACGAAAACGACAAGTTATAAGTTATAAAGGGTTATTGACAATATCGACCGCAACTTCAGTGGGTCAACGAAATAAAATATGTCGTTTATAAATGGTACACGATTTTGCAACTGTTATGAATGAGAACCCTATTACGTCTGTACTATATTGTGAATCAATTTATCTCGATTTCGCCGTCTGTGGACACTGTGCAGCAGTCTATATATTTATCATATTATGCGCTAAACAGCCTCGTTCGTATCACAATAAATTCGCAATTATCATAATAATAAAATTCACCGTGCCCGTTCCGTGTGAAAAAAAAGTAAAAAAATACAAATAATTAAAAAAAGAACGTAAACAAATAATTGTCGAGCCTTCGCAACGACAATAATAATACGACAGTCATAGGCGAACAACTATATTACCGGTGCGGCGGGGTTACTGCGTAGGTATATATACAACATAATGTTCCACGCTGTAAGTGGCGCGTTTTGAAAGTGCGCTGCTGCAGAATAGCATATCGCTCGTTCGAATAATTTTATACGTTAGGCGTAAAGGTATATAATATTATTATGTATAGACAGTTATGTAACATTCGGTAGTTAAAGTCTCCCACCGTCGCGTTAAATAATAGTGATTATGATGGCCGGCAACGTATATAGATTGGCCTTATGATGTATAAAAATTTTAAATGTTGTACCTGCTGTTACGTGTGTGTCGTGTCTCGTGTGTCGTGAGGTGGGGGTGTAAACGCGTAATTCCGTGCCCACGACAAACGCGGACGGTGGTCATCGTCATCTATATCATGTTATTGTGTAGGTACGTGCAGTAGTAAGTGTATAATACGCAATGCGGTGGATATCGTACCCACCCAGGGTAATACCTGCCCACGCGTGTACATAGCTGCGTATATGCACATAGGTAGGTAGGTATTATAATAATATCGTTTTGCGGTTTCCATAATATTATCATATACCATTCGTTTGGTTTTGAAAGACTGCCGCGTGTGAACCGTCCAGCATACCGTAAAACCACAAATCGTCCGTACCTGTAATAATACAACGGACGGCGGACGCTATTAGGTACTCGACAGGTCTCGGTTGTGCAGGCACAATATACGTATATATTATAATATAAGATAAATAAATAAACATTTTATAAACGAGTGGCATCTTTTCGACTGTTTTTCCTATACCTACAACTGGTACAAGCGATATTATTTAGAAGCCTGCACTTAAAATATATTATACAGAGAGCGTCGCTCGTGTGTGTGTATTTTTATACCTACATATAATAATAAATTCGACGGTGTCATGGGTTCTAAAGCGGTCGCTCCGGAATGCGCACCGGCCGCGGCATTCCTACATCAGACTGCGGTCGTAGAGGCGTGGCACTAGGATAGGCGGATCTGGTGGGATACCTACATAATATAATATAATATATAATAACACGACGACGACGGCTGCGTAAGGTAATGAGATAGGTCTTGGTACAAATCCAATATTTTTCCTACGGTCGACCGTCCTGCAGAACCGTTTATTCTCCGAAACGATTCCTGCGCAGGTCGAATCTTGACCAGATGTGTGTTTGTGCTGCAGACGCTGCAGTTGTATTATTATCCCCTCGGATCTTAACCACGTCGTCCACGCGCATACACGGATTTGTTTACCTAAATATCATATTAAATGTATTATTGTTTAGGTAAGTAAATGTAGATATGTACATCCGATCCGTCGAAGAAAGTATCGGCGAGCATACGCTGCTGCAGTGACACTGATTCCAAGGACAGGTTTTATACTTCGATATATGTATTTCGCATGTATAGAAATGTTTAGAGAATTTAATATATTAAATCGTGTATACGATATAATACACAGATCCACTAGGATTTCTAAACAGTTATTAAAATTCCATTATCAAATGAAAGTATTGCAATCACTACGCGCTGTATAAGGCACGCGAGTTCATTTTCATATCGACGGTATTACCGCTCGACGGCTTTATTATTACCAGGAAGATGTATGCGAAAATGTTACTATATCTGCTCTAACCACAGTATAATAGCGGGGAATTGTATTGTAAAATTTAAATCACAATCAAACGGACCATTAAATAGTTTGACGTCCACCACTCCGGTCAAATATAAAAACGACGCAGTGATATTGTCGGCTTGACAAAACGCATTATAATCGCCAGTGGACACCGAACAGTAATAAATTATAAGACACGATGATGAGTACGTTATTATTATTATACGGCTATACCTACCTACAATTTGTGTGTATACAGAGAAATGTGTGTTACAGTAAAAATGATAATAATCGCGGCCGCTGTAGTCAAATGTGAATATTGATGACCGCCGAACGAGTAAAATATAAAACCACAGGTGACCCCAAAACCGACAACCTGTCGAGTGTAGGAGCCCCCGCGGGGGCTAAGTTCCGACTTTCCTCTGCAGTGCCCTCTTGTGCCACTTTCGTGGTATAGACGCCGCCCTTCCCTTTCCTCGTCCGCAGTATATTACATATATACATACACGCTCGATAGATAAATTAATATTCTAAACTCTTCACAACGAGTCTAATACACGAATCGGCCGGAGTTAAGCATCCGCGTAAAATTAATCAATGACCGTTTATAACACGTTCACATCCGTTACAATTGTGTCAGTGGACCTATTATTCGACGGCGTACGATTTTCGGTCGCACTCGAACGATTTATCGGTCTAGTGCAGCACGCACTGCACACACGTAGCGCAATAGGGCAATTATTGAAATTCTTTCGGTTTTCCAGTGGTAGGGTGAGAGGATTTAAAATTTTTACCTCTAAAAC